CGCATCTCCGGTATCACCTTCTATGCTCGTCTCAACCAAACGCCGCGATCCACTCTCTATCTCCACATTTCTTTCGCTTTCGTGACGGTTGTGTATGTGGCGCAGACACTCATCGTCGCTCTGCAGTGTGTTCCTCTCGCTGCTCTGTCGGGCGACGCAAGGGTAGATGCATGGGCTCAGGAATTGTTTTTATTGTGACTTCAGTGCTCACGATCGTCTGTGACTCGCTTGTGCCGCTGTTTCCAATGAATGTTGTCTTCTTGCTTCAGGCAAAGTTAGCAAGAAAGCTAGCCCTGGCGCTTGTACTTTGCGTGGGAATTTTGTAAGTTCTTTTGTCCTTTTCCTTCATCAACAGTGAACAAAATGAAGTCACTAATATCTATCTCTTTAGTGCCATTGTGTGAGCATTTGCCGCCTGCCGAGTCACGGTCTGCTAACTCACAGAATATAGAACGTCCATCCTCCGAATGGTATCCATGATAGTCGTCCTCCAACACCCGGATGACGCAACTCGGTACTTCTCTATCGTGATGGTGCGATCTGCCACACAAATTAGTGCTGCCATCATCGGTCTTTCTCTCCGGCTTTACGAGCATTGTTCGCAGTCTGGAGCAAAAGTCGTTCGACGACGAATCACAGTGAATCAGATAATACCGAAACAATTGGCCTTGAGGGGATTCCTCTGTTGGCAAAGCAGCCTATATTTGACGAACATGATGTCCATGAGACGACAATCGACGTGGACTGGGGTACCAAACCGAGCCAGGAGACGCTTTGGGGTATCAAGGATGAGGATATTGATTTGAGGATACGGTTCGCGTTGGTTTTGAGAGGTCCCCGTCTCGGTAGACGAGAGTGTGGCGAAGTGTTTGCTCTGTGTCTACTTAGTTGATGGTTAATCCAAAAAGAAAATGTCTTCACGTGGCTGAACTCATGAGAAGCGATGTCTTTGCATTCTTTCCGCCATTCCATGAGGTCTAGCCGATGAGGCACTGTTCGGTTTGCCCGCTTCTTCCGTTGAGACCGAAGGACTTTGTTTGGTTCACTTGGGAATTAAACCGGAACGCCCGCATTTGTTTCTCTTGGGGAGATTCCAGAATTCAGGGTGGCGAAAGGCGTCGCTGAGCGGCATGTCGGATGGATCTATCCATTTAGAGAACCAGGTTGGGGCACACTACCACGTCATACGAGCGGAGAGCAACTTCTAAAAGAACGAGTTCTGAGTAGACAGAAATGAGACCACATAACTTACAGCTGAAAAGCCTCCTCGGGGATAGATCAATGTAACTGATTCGTCCTTCTGGTCATGCGAGTCAGATCGGAGAATTGGACTGATGCGAACCAGGACGCGAACGCCTCTAGTGAGTGGAGACCAATCATGGAATTCCCGCATGAGTTATTAAATATTCTCCATATCATTGGGCTTCTAGGTTTCGGATGTTGCGGTCCACCGTGGCATGTATTAGGATGTACATTGCACGTGAGCAGATCGTTGTATTGCACATGAGGTTGTCTTGATCAAACCCCTTGGAACCAACAGACTAAAACTCCACTCCTTACTTTCCAATCTTCTCTTTTTTTCGTGGCCACTGTTTGCTTCCAAGGTTTGGATTATGTCAAGAGAGCAGATTCCGACAACGTAATAGGGCACGTGTGCTCGCTTCGGAGCGCCCGATTCCGCCTGGGCAAAGGTGAAACCTGGACGGAGTAAGTTACAGATATCTTCTAGAACAGGAACCAGCCATGCGACAGACATTCCCAGGGATACGTGAATAGGCCTCTTATACACCCACGTGTGGGCTCACTGTGCTCTCATAGGTAAAAGCGGACCCGATGTCTCCACCCCCGCCAAGAGCCGCAGCCATCCAATCGCCAGGTCCCTTTAGCCAATCAAATGTGACGCTTTGCTAAATCCACTGAATCTCGACCAAGCTAAACCTAATCGGGATTCGTTCCACAGCATGTCAATGTAAAATAAAATTAGTTCCGCCCTGGCTGCCAAGGCCTTGTCCAATTTGCTTGAGCGCCCTAAGCTTGCGGAAAAGAGCTCTTCGTCCCTCTTGGCTAGGCTTCGTTACATTGACTTTTTGCCAAGCCCACGGACGATGATCGAAGGGCTCCCATTGCGAGTAGGACCAGCACGTGTGGCCAGAATATCCCAAACGGGAAGTTTGTCTGGCGTAAGGATGCTTACCACAGGGCATTTCTTGCATACGCAGATAACGGGGGGCCATATCAACCTTTAGAATTTTCCATGCATACATAAAAAGACAGTCTTCTCATCTTGGTCTTGGTTTCTCTTCTTTCTCAGTGCAACCGAAAGTCCAATACTAAGCTTTGACTTGGCTTGGTAGAATCCATCAAAGATGGCTCTCCACCAATACGATTACATCTTTGCCATCGGCACGTTGTTTGCTATGCTTGATGCATTCAACAACGGTGCAAGTGAGTAGCATAGTCTATCATCTACTGGTTGACCTCGACTAACCTTTGGATGTTCACAGACGATGTTGCCAATTCTTGGGCTACCAGTGTCTCCTCCCGGTCCATCTCCTACCGCCAGGCTATGGTCCTTGGTACCATTTTCGAATTCGTCGGAGCAATCGCTGTCGGTGCCCGTACCGCTGATACTATCAAGAACGGCATCATCCCCAACTCAGCCTTCCAAGGCAATGCCGGTGTTCAAATGCTCGCCTTCACATGTGCCCTTGCCGCTGCATCCTCATGGGTGATGTGGTGTACCAAGAACTCCGCCCACGTCTCCTCCACCTACTCCCTCATCTCTGCCGTCGCCGGTGTCGGTGTTGCAACTGTTGGTGCTTCCCAGGTTCAGTGGGGCTGGAACAAGGGCAAGGGTCTCGGTGCCATCTTCGCTGGTCTCGGCATGGCTCCTGTCATTTCCGGTTGCTTTGCCGCTATCATCTTCCTGATGATCAAGTACCTCGTGCACGTGCGGAGAAATCCTATCCCCTGGGCCGTCTGGAGTGCTCCTTTCTTCTTCTTGGTTGCTGCCACCATTTGCACTCTCTCCATTGTGTACAAGGGCTCCCCCAACCTGCATCTGGACAAGAAGCCCGCCTGGTACGTTGCTGCCGTCACCATGGGTACTGGTGGTGGTGTCTGTCTTTTGTCTGCTATCTTCTTTGTTCCTTTCCTCCACTCCCGCGTGATCAAGAAGGACCCCAGTGTGAAATGGTGGATGTTCATCCAGGGCCCTCTGCTCCTCAGCCGTCCTGTTCCTACCAATTCCGAGGTCGCCTACGTCCCCAACTACGCTGTGGTGCAAGACGAACCCGAAGAGCATGAATCTCACAACGTGGTCGGTGACAAGGAGGCCAAGACCGGTGTTGCCTCCATCCCAGGCTCTACAGACGGATCGGTCGAGGCCAACCAGCTCACCTACCGCGAACTCATGGCGCAGTCCGAGGACCGTCACAACGCCAAGCTTCTTAAAAGCCGTGGCCCTATTGGCTGGGCTATGCGCCTTCTCCGTGACAACCCCATGGGTGCCGGTGAGATCTACGAATTCCGCAACATGAAGCTCATGGCCAAGCGCCTCCCCGCCATCATCACTGTCGGCCTTCTTTACGGTTTCTACTACGACATCCACACTGCCCAGAGTGGTAACGAGGGTACTCCAGAGGGTGAGCGCATGAAGCGTGTCTACGCCAACGCCGAGAAATACCCCAACGAGGTCGAGCACACCTACTCCTTTATCCAGATCATCACTGCTTGCACTGCTTCTTTCGCTCACGGCGCCAACGATATCGGTAACTCCGTCGGCCCCTGGGCTGCCATCTACTCTGCCTGGTCCACCGGCACCCCTGCTGCCTCCAAGTCCCCCGTGCCTATCTGGCAGCTTGCTGTTCTGGCCGCTTGCATTTCCATTGGTCTTTGCACTTACGGATACAACATTATGAAAGGTGAGCGACCCCTTCCTCTTTCCTTTCGCCAATCTTCACTTTTACTAACTGTACACTTAGTCATGGGTAACAAGATCACCTACCACTCACCATCCCGTGGCTCGTCCATGGAGATGGGCGCCGCCATCACTGTGCTGGTCTTCTCGCAATACTCCCTGCCCGTTTCCACGTCCATGTGTATTACTGGCGCTACTGTCGGTGTTGGACTGTGCAACGGAACTATCAAAGCCGTCAACTTCCAGCGTGTCGGTCTTTTGTTGGCTGCTTGGATCATGACCATTCCCATCGCTGGCACCATCGGTGGATGCCTCATGGGATTGGTCCTTAACGCTCCCCATTTCGGCTCTTAGACATTTGGAATTCTTGATTCAGCTGTGAATATTTTTGAGAGCGCACATATTTTACTTAATTCTTTTGAGATACCACTTTTAAATTTTGACAGTCAGTCAATCATTCGGACAAAAATATTTAGACATCTATTGGAAATAGAAGACATTCAGTTGAAACCAACGCTAAGATAACCGCTCAATTTTCCACACCTTGGCAAGACTTTCCATATCTAAACCAGGATAACAAAATAAAAATCAAGTACCTCTCTACATATGTGCGTACATATGCACTTTTGAACGGAACATCATCCGGGCAAAAAGATAAGAACTTTGAAGAAAAAAAAACAAAGGGAAAAAATAGTTTCCCTGGGAATCGAACCCAGAACCTTTCCGGAACATCTGCTAATCGCATTTGTTAACGGAAAATCATAACCGCTAGACCAGGAAACTGCTCAGCCACTTGGGCCGATTGATGGAGGAGAGTACCAAAGAGGCAACTATCAAATTTTCTTTGGGGCTTTCCCCTGGCCAAGGTTGGAGCAATAGCGTTAGGGTCTCTAGGGATGGATTTAATTGCTGAAATTATTACTGCTCTATTAACCTCAGCTGTATACTCAATGATCATCATCTAACCGGAAATCTAAAGGAGGAAAAGGAAAACGTCAAGGAAAACATCATGCATATATTCTCACATGTAGCTACATATTTTCTGCGTCCAGCAGTCTGTGATTCTCAACCAATCTCCAACCTACATCTCCTCGGCAACCTTGATCAACTCATATCTTTCCCTTCGCAAGTATTCGTAAGTGACAATCTTATCACGAGCATCCTGCTCGATAGATTCCCATTCCTCAGGAGAAATAGTGATTTCGCCATCCTGTTTCGGGAAAATGGTCATGGGGCGGCTGCGTTTTTCCAGGCCAACCTTGAAAAATCCGAGCCGGAACTGAGTCTGCTTTGTTGGTTCGTGGGGCACTCCAAAAACAAATGGTTCTTTCGGACGCTCGTAGGGTTCTGCGTTGAGCGTTGATGTGAGGCCCATCTGGAAACATTCCTGTCTGAACCGGGCGCGGGCGGACCCCGGCTTGGGCATTTCGTAGGCAGATTGATCAGTCCGAAATCTTGCTGGGGCTGTGGTCGGGCTAGTGGAGTGCTCTGATTGCTGGCTTTCATCGGGGGCGTTTGGAGAGTTTGCTGCGTTATCATCTTTGGTGTTCTCATCCTTGGTTTCATCTGTGCTGTCTGCAGGGCCTCCGCTAGGTTCGTCATCAGATTCATTCTCAGTGTCGGTATCAGTATCATCAGTGTCATCAGTGTCATCCCCAGAATCACTCCAAGACTCGTACCCAAGCTCTTCTGCAAGGACCTTTCCAAGAACCTGATTTTTGGAACTTCTCTCATTTTCTATCCCTTGCTGCAGATGCTCCTCGTCCACCTTTCGTTGAATCGGCACCCTACACCGTGGCTTTATGATTTTAGTAAGTGGGCGTCGCTTGATCAAAGGTAGCTGTAGTTTGACGAGAGCCCCCTTCCATGTCCTCAATGGACGCTTGCGTTTGTCTTCGGTCGAGACAGAGTTGTTCGCAGTCTTTTCAAATTTCACATGTCTCGCAATAGCCTCCTCATGAACACGTAGTCTCGTAGCCCGAGTATGCTCACTAATTCCATGCCTGGTGACATCCAGAAAAAAGCTCAGGTCCTGGCATTCGACGCCCTCTTTCGGATCCATTGCACAAGGGTTCGCTTTCACGAAATGCTCATGAGCTTTGCGCATATTTCCGCGCAGGAACTCAACTCGACCCATCCAGAACTCGCATTTGGCAACGAGCAGCGGATCCTTGGATTTATCTGCAGATTGCCTGGCAAGCTTGACCATAACCTCGGCTTCGGAAGAGTTTTCGTTGGCGATGAAGTTCGAAGCTGGTAAGAGATAGGTACCAACCTCGACCCGATAGTACATATGCAATATGTCGTTGGTAGTCGGCTCGACGGACATGTTGTTGACGATCCTTGCAAGGGACTTGAGCTTTTCCTCTCGTAAAGCGCGGGCTTCCAGTATGAGCTCTTGCTCTTCTCGAGAAGAGAGAGGTGCGGCCTGCCAGGAGCCCCCATGCTTGCTCGCATGGGGTATGTTGTCGGACATGATCGAAATACTCTTGCCCCCAATAGGGTCGTGATGATCAATCTGGTAAACTTGTGAAGTAGATGTGATGGGATTGCTGTTGGTCTGGTAATGATTCAAAGATTTCCGTCAGATAAAAGAGATCGAAAAGGATATTGGTACCTCGGGTGTTGGTAAGGGAAGATAGAAACCAAGCGAGAAACAGTGACCCTTATGTACCCCACAGACGCGTCGACAAGGAAGACAACGGACGCGTGAAGAGAGTTTCATCCAGACAATTTGAGACAAAGACATTTGTCTACAGAAATACCAAGACTTGGGTCGTACTTTCCTTTGTTTCCCTCAATCCCATTGTTAACATCGCTGAAACCGAAACGACGCCTTCTATGAACCTGTTCACTCAGTGTATATCTTTGATACTTTTTGATCAATCTGTACAAATTGAGGAAGTTGAGCAAATTGAACAAGGGAACAATCAAATGAGCTTCATACTGTGTATGTAGTACCAAATTTTCTCCGCCCAACACTAGAGGTGTTGTTTTGGCTCGGTCAAGTTTACATACATGTACGTTTTGCTTCAGGTACATATATAGATACAACCCTGGCAGGTATTTCAATCACTTCAGGAAATACGTAGTCTAGGGAAAAGTTCTTCTGCTACAATTTACTCGAAACTGAAATCCAAGCCGGTGGAAATTTGGTTTATTGGAATACTTTGGCCCTCACACATCATCCCAAGTAACCCTATTCTTCTTATTATTTCCAACCTGATTCCCAATCTATATCTGATATCCCTAAGACTTTTTGCCTAGGCTACTGTGTGACCGCGATCAAACCGGACACGAGCGGAATTGCTTATTGCGAGAGTCATGTATCAATAAATAAATTGGAGGGAATACCCAAGTAGCTCCATCAAATCAATACGCAGATTTTTCAGGTTGGCTGTATTTTCAAGATGATTCATTATCTTCCCAGTCTAATAATGTGCGGGTAGACGCTGCCACCTGGGCAGCGAGTGATCAAACTCAGCAGCCTCTATGCGACTAGATCGTTTGAAGCTCACGGCTTTTGCTGTAGTCTGCCCGCGTATGCCCCCTGCCCCACACACGAGTCTCACCTTCCGACCTTCAAGAGGTTCATTCTTCTGATAAGAAAAGCAATGTCGGCGATAATGAGAGATTCTGGGTTATGCCAGACGGAATCGCAGTTGGGAATTTGCATAACCGTCTCTAGACTTATCCTGGACTTTTCATATTGGCAAATGTGGTGTTGGATGAAAGCGATATAAAGTCGACATCGCATCTCATCAAGTTCGCACAGATTGGGGTTCTGGCTAAGGACTTGCAAGGCAAGCTCCATTGCAAGCTCTGGGTCACCATGTTGCCACCGCTCTTCTGCCTCTACTAGCAATGAGACATTTTTGAAATAGGGCCGGGTATAATGGAGAGAGGTTGGCGTTATTTCGTCAGATAGGGATTGGGAACCAGATTGAACAGAAGGAATAGCGAGAGTGGGGTCTCTTAAGGCGTGTGAAAGCATATACTCGCGGATTCTTCGAGACCAGATTTGTTCTCGCCGAGAATGTTCTTGTTCTCGTTCTCGTCGGGACTTGATGCCCTTGCGCAGACGTCGAAAAATATCGGACATTTTGAAATTGGAATACTTTGTTGTGATATTCTCAAGCTGATGAATTGTTCGTTTGTGATGATTCTTTCGGGGTTTATGTACTCGTCCGTCCAGCAGCCGGCATTCCCTCTAAGGATGAACCCCCCATACTGATGAATGACATCGTTGTCCCTTTGATAAAAAGTTTGTTGTACTACTTGAGACCAAGACGAACTTGTTGAAACATGCTTTGTCCTAACGTTTGTACTAAACATAGATTTGCAACATCTTCAATTTGAAGCACGGATGTGTCACTGATGTTATCGCCTGATGTATATGGCAATAATATGCAAACAAAGCAAAGCTCACAAACAGACAAACTGAACAAACACAAACAGAGCAAATTTTACAAATGCGACAAACAGCTACCTATGACATCACCTGCCCGTAGCTCCCCGGGTACTACCTACAGCACCTCAACTTGCAAGATAACACTACGGGTATGCCGATAAACTACTTTGAGCATATCCACTACTGGCTGCTTCCTAGGTAACGGTGGAAATGTCCAAAGTTGTTTAGCAGAGTATGCAAGTAGATTGGTCGTCTTACTCCGACTCCGATGTAAAATGGCATGGGGTCAATTGTCCTGTCCAATCTGATACTACAGATCTTCCCGCAATAATCCACTTATGGATCAGACCATGAATCTAGACTCGCGGGGGTCCTGTTGCAAACACGTTCACCAAGACGAAACCGGGTTAGAGGCCAATGTGCTTCTTGGATCTCACATTTATAAAGTCTGCATAGTCCATGTAGTTATTTTATTTCTCTACTCTATTGCAGGTCAAGTCGTCATATAACTTACAGCCTGTGGACCTCAGCCGCTCTTTCCGTTGTTGAATAAATTGTCATAGAGGTTTAGCTTTCCAGGTACGACTTGAGCTCTTCAAGTGTTTGGACTTTATTCTTCTACTTTATTTCGCTTATCCCTACAGCTTCTTTTTATTGCTTTCGCTTGCGAACTGACATCAATATCCTAGAAGTCATGTCTCCTACCTTGATCAGAAACGTCGACACGGTTGAGATTGTGAATATCCACCAGAATGACATGGAATTCTCCCTAGTGGATGATATCTACAAGAATCTGGACCCACCAGCAGGCAGACAGCGCGCATTCCCTACCCTCCTACTCTACGACGCCAAAGGATTGAAGCTCTTCGAGGAGATCACTTACTTGGATGAATACTATCTTACCAACACGGAGATCGAGATTTTGACAAGACATGCGAAGAGGATAGTCGCACGCATTCCGGAGAATGCACAGTTGGTGGAACTCGGAAGTGGGTCTGTGACCCGTACACCGTTGGATGGTCTTGTCCAAAGTTTCCAAACTGACAATTCTTCTTTTTTAGAAACCTGCGCAAGATCGAGATTCTACTTCGAGAATGTGAACGGACTGAAAAGAAAGTGGATTACTATGCTTTAGACCTTTCATTGGTGGAGTTACAGCGAACATTCTCTGAAATCTCCCCCGAGAGCTTCATCCATGTAGGATTCCATGGTCTCCATGGAACATACGATGATGCTGTTAGCTGGCTGAAAAGCCCAGAAAATCGAAAGCGGCCCACCGTGGTCTTGTCAATGGGATCATCCATGGGCAATTTTAGTCCTTCAAGTGCTGCGGAATTTCTTGGTGGTTTTTCCAAGCTATTGAGCCCGTCCGATTTCATGCTTATCGGATTGGATGCATGCAAGAATCCAGATAAGGTGTTTAAGGCCTATAATGACACCAAAGGTATTACTCGCCAATTCTATGAGAATGGCCTCCTGCATGCCAACACGGTTCTTGGCTTCGAGGCCTTCAAGCCTGACGAATGGGAGATCATGACTGAGTACGATACCCGCGAGGGACGGCATCGAGCCTTCTATGTCCCAAAAGTTGATGTGGTCATCAATGGGATCAATATTCCCAAAGGAGAGAAGCTCATCTTTGAAGAGGCATGGAAGTACGGTCGCAACGAACGGGATCAACTGTGGCGCAAGGCAAACCTCATTTCCCAGGTCGAGTTTGGAAATTCGACAGATGATTATCGTGAGCCTTGATGCTTTTATCGAATCGACACTGCGGACTTGCTGACTCGTGCTTGAACAGACCTTCATCTGCTATCACCCGCCACGCTTGATGTGTCTATGGACTCTTCGAAATGTGCAGCCCAACCGATCCCGAGTATTGACGACTTCCAGTCTCTGTGGACTGCATGGGATCTCGCGACCAGAACCATGGTACCTCAAGAGGAGCTTCTGTCCAAGCCGATTAAACTCCGGAATGCGCTGATCTTTTACTTTGGTCACATCCCGACATTTTTCGGTGTGTCTCCAATATTCAATGTTGCTTTTATGTTTAGTGCTAATCATGCCGGAACCTAGACATTCATCTGACGCGGGCTTTGCAGGAGGAGCCCACAGAGCCTAGTCATTATAAACTGATTTTTGAGCGCGGCATTGATCCGGACGTCGAGGATCCGCAACAATGCCACGCCCACAGCGAAATACCCGATGAGTGGCCACCACTAGACGAAATCCTGGACTACCAAGGTAAAGTGCGCAACCGTGCACTTTCGATCCTACAAGAGGGATATGCGTCGCAAGACCGCGCCATTGGAGAGGCTCTTTGGATTGGATACGAGCACGAAGCAATGCATCTCGAGACTTTCCTCTACATGCTACTCCAGAGTGATAATACTCTTCCTCCAACAGGAGTTGATCGCCCGAATTTTGAGCAGATCAGTCGCCAGGCGAAGAGAGATGAAAAGCCAAACAAATGGTTTACCATTCCACAACAGACTATCGAAATTGGATTGGATGACTCTGACGAAGAAGTTATGCCAAATCAATCTTTTGGATGGGACAACGAGAAGCCCCAAAGGAAGGTCACTGTGCATGCCTTCGAAGCTCAAGCGAGACCCATCACCAATGGTGAATATGCCAAGTACATACAGGACATGGGTATTCAAACATATCCCGCGTCTTGGGTGGTTAAACGGGGCCAAGAAAATCCAATTTCCAAGGGTATCGGTTCCTCACGCGTCCAGGCCAGTGCGAGCTCTAGTGCTGCAAGATTTTCCCTGGAGGACGTCACAGTTCGAACTGTGTTCGGGCCTGTGGCTCTTAAAGTTGCACAAGACTGGCCATTGGTTGCTTCCTACGATGAAGTGGCAAGCTATGCAAAGTGCATGCAATGCAGGATCCCCACGTTTGAAGAGACCAGGAGCATATATCACTACTCGGAAAAACTGAAAACTGATCGAGGCACGAATAGCCATAGGTATGGAAAGAAGCCTAGTTTCGATATAGCAGAAACTAACTTATAAAATAGGAATAGGGTCAATGGGTTTGCTAGTGGTCGCAAGCCGCAC